ATACTTTGGACTATCTAATAGAGTGATCTATACATTTAGCATTTATCAAGTAGTATACTTTGGACTATCTAATAGAGTGATCTATACATTTAGCATTTATCAAGTAGTATATAGGCACCGGATGTATCAAATTTTAGTTTTGTGCATTTAATTAAATAGGGTATGTCATACACATTAGTTTTTGGACTAAGGACCATGGACTAAGAAGCAAAATAATCCATACTCTTTAGATTTATCAAGCATATAGGCATGTGTTGCATAAAAATATGGTTTGATGGACTTATTTAAACATAGGATGTCATACGTATTACATTTTGGACTATGGACCTTATACTATATAGTAATGTGCCTAAAAGTGTTTAATATTTCATCAAGTAGCATCTATGCCTAGAAATAGGGCACTATGGATTTATTTAATTAGAGGTTGTCATACAATCATATGTACATATTGGATTTTGAAGCATGGACTATAGACATATACAGTAAAGTGTTCAGTAGTATTTAGCATTTATCAAGTAGCATGCAAGCATGTGATGTATAGAAATGGGGCACTATAGATTTATTTAACTAGAGGATAGTGTACATATTGGACTCGTTCCCTTAACTAATGGTAGTTGCAGACCTTGGGGCCATTCAACTGAGGACCTTGATTCCTATACTTGAAGAATCTCGATATTAGAACAAGAGGAACGCCGTTATATGACAAACGGAAACCACGATCTTTTAACCAAGGGAACCCATACTAGCTCTACTTGGCAACCTCGTTTAATGTGTAATGGAGCTTAGATTCTGACCAGCCAAAACCTTGAACCCATCGATATGGGATCTTGCTCCCATAAACCTAAGGATCTCGTTCCCTCTCGTTCATTGTACGGACTCCGATCCCAAACCTAGGGACTTTCCGCAATAGAGCAGTTCGGCGATTCCCGAACCAATTCTGCTCCTGTCTCCAACAACTATGGGCTGAATGCTAACATTAAAGAATGGATCAATAAGGTATTCGATTGTCTAAGTTCTGCTTCTTGCGTTTGAGATTGGTCCTTTTACTGGGTTGGAGGGCTGCATTAGTACCATAGTGTTAGCAAATCACCGATTAAACGACGATTTTTTTAAAAAATCGGTGCCTCTATGGAATCTGTTTAAAGCTACGACTTTTTGAAAAGTTCGGCAAAAAATCGCGTATTTTTCATAAAAACGTTTAAAACACGATTTTTTCATAAAACAATCTAAACCAGTTCAAAAAATTGTACCCTTTTTTTACCTGTACCTGTAAATTTTTATTTTGAAAGATTTTTTTTTTTCCTGTTTTGTGTATTGCAGCCATTGCTATTTTCATACTTTCTAAAAAAAATATTATTTCCAAAAAAAAAAACCTAAAATAGAAATTTTTATCCTCAATGTATTTATGTATTGTTAAGGTTATTAACGTAGGGTTTATGATGAAATATGTGATTATTTGTGATAACTGGTTTTATGAAAATATTGTTTATGGGACAAATTAGAGCTCAAAACATACTCTTTTACTGATGAATGAGAAGCAGAGAGTGTGACTACATGACCAAGTGATCAATATTATGTTTTTGATTATGTGATAACAGAGGTAACATGATACTGTAAACTGTGTAAATTGTAAACTTACTGGAGCAAGCTATTGTACATATAGGATTAGTCCCCCAACGTAATCCTTCAGCACTGCTTTTCTGCTGTTTCCCCAAGAAAATGAAAAACCATCTTCCTTTTCTCTCTCTAAAAATCAGCATCCCCAAGCAAAAAATCAGCATCCCAAATCTTGCCCAAGCCCCAAATCGTGCCTCTCTAAAATCAGAGCATTCAAATCTTCCCAAATCTTCCTTTTCTCTCTCTAAAAACAGAGCACCCAAATCATGCCTCTAACAGAGAACCCGAATGACCCTCTTCGTTTTCTCTCTCTAGAAACAGAGAATTGTGAACCCAAATGGATGACCCTCATCATTTTATCTCTCTAGAAACAGAGAACTGTGAACCCAAATCGATGACCCTCTTCCTTTTATCTCTCTAGAAACAAAGAACTGTGAACCCAAATTGACGACGCTCATCCTTTTATCTCTCTAGAAACAAAGAACTGTGAACCCAAATGGATGATTCTCTTTCTTTTTTCTCTCCATGAACAGAGAACTCGAACCCAAATGGTGTATTTAACCAGCCCTGTTTTCAATCAAAGAAATGTATAAAAACTTTAACCATAGTTATAGAGTGACCATAGTCACCATTCCATAGTTAAAGCATTTTAATGAGAAAAACAAAATCGTGTATTTTTTTTTGGTACCTACTAAGTAGGTGTGATGTTTGTTAAAGTATTTAATGAGTAAATTTTTATGGTATATTTGTTTTTGGTATGTACTAAGTAGGTGTCATGTTTCTTAAAGTATTTAATGACTAAATTTATATGGTATATATTTTTTTGGTATGTACCAAGTAGGTGTAATGTTTCTTAAAGTTTCTACTATTTTAAACTTATCTAATTTTTTGACTCCGATTTTTTGCGCCTAGTCCGATATATTGATGATATCTTTACATGAAGTATTTTTGCCAATCTGTATTTTTGACCCAATTTTTTCATCCGACTTTTTAAAATAAAAATGATTTGTTTCCGATTTTATGGTGAACCGATCCCCAACTTGCTAACTATGATTAGTAGTTCAAAAAAGGACAAACTGTGGCTGTCATTGAGGCACAAAGGCATGAGATTTCGTTCTCTAAACTTTTATCATGCAACAGACATGCATTTGTTACATATACAATGCATTCATGCTAAATGCTAATAAATGTATATAGTTTGGAATCCATTAATGTATATTTGATTGCAACCAAAATCAACTGAATGGGAAGAGTGATACTGAAATAATTTGAATTGTGAGTTGCTTGGTACTATTAACTTGGACAGCCAAACGCTAAATTCTTCTCTTGGGGTCAGGAAACCACAGTGTTCATTGAAAGGAAATAAAGAATGTCATTCAACTCCAGTACTTGAATTGTGAGTTGCTTGGTACAAACTTGGACAGTCAAACGTTGAATTCTTCTCTAGGGGTGAGAAACCGACGTTTTCATTGAAAGGAAATAAAGAATTTCATTCAACTGAAGAAAGTCATAACAAGTACTTGATTTAAGCGCATGGGTTGTCAGATGATGCACTTTCATTATATTGAAAGCTTGGGATCGCATTAGATTCTGGAGGGATCTATGGATGGGTCTAAATACTTTGGAACATGCATTCCCAAGTCTTTTTCTCATTGCTTCAGATCAGGAAGTTACTATCTCAGTCAATCGAAGTGGTCAGCGGATAAACTGTTTGGGTATTCTATAAAGCCCTCACTCTATCAAATGAAAACCCTGCAATCACTAAAAGGGCATGGCTGACCCCTGCACTCCCCAAAGTTCAGGCCTTCAACTAGTTAGCAGTCTCCAACAAGGCTTTAGACCATATTCAGAAAGGTAACCCGCTATTGAACAGATGTAGCATGTGTAAAGAAGAAGAGGAGACCATCGACCATTTATTTGTCCATTGCAAGGTGCACTCCCGAGTCTTGTGCTTCATACTTGGTGGATTGACCATGGATCCATGTGGCATGAGTCGAACACTTGTTCTGATCTTAGTTCTCGACCTCCCTACTTAGCCTTGGTATTATTACTTTGGCACTTGTCATCTAAGCGACTGTAATCTTTGGGCACCAGCCCGCAAAGAGCTTGTGGCGTACTCATCCATGGACCTCGATAATCAGTGGAAGCACATCATATGATAAACATCACACACAATCTGAAGATATTCCCATAGGATACCTCCAGAAAAAAGAGTAATTAAGCTAAATTTTGGCAGCATTACTATTGGAAATCCGGGCCGTGCCTGCATCAGAGGCCTTTTCAGAAACCACTGGGCGAGACTCTACTTACTCCGGTCCAGCGGGCATAGCAGACGCAATACTTATGGTGGCCCTAGCATATCTTGTCAGATTCCAAATGTTTGATTGTAGTTGAGTTTAGCCTTATTAATTAAAGGCAACATCCAAAATGTTATCAACTGAGCTGAAGAGGGAACGCTTCTTGTCCTTGGAGACTGGACGATAAGTTCGATCAGATTTTTGATAGTTGCTCATCCACACACTTGTGGAGGGAGGCCAATGTGGGCGTCTCGAGTTCCAATCCCTTGATCACTCATTACTACCTTCCTGGAGGAGCAAAGTTCTGTTCCCATATGTTCTATACAAATAGATAAACCATAAATGCTTTATTATTTATACATGGAAAACTGTACATTTTCAATCATTAACACAAACAGATGGAAGGTTTAGGGGAATTAAGGGAGATGATATGGAAAATCTAGAATGGTGTCCCAGAAAACAAAATAGTACCTGAAATGAAAGAGAGTAATATATGAAAGTTGGGAAATACAATTCCCAATTGACATCGAGTGAGATAGAGCACACGTAGTGAGGTCTTAATGCATGTAGAAAGATTGAGAGACACTTGTAATGCGGATCTTTGTAAGTAATAAATATTGTTTCACACAAGGCGATCTCACGTATCATAAATTGTTATGCAATCCTATACGATGGGTGGGTAGTCACACAAACCCCTACTTGTAAATAAATATCAATACATATATATATATATATATATATATAAACACAGACAGATAGATATTCATCTAAAAGGAAAGCTATTTCTTCTTGGTTAATGACCCTTAAATCTTATCATGAGAAGTGTGTGGTCTAGCCCCAGCTGCATCTAGGATGGGAGGGACTTTTACTTGTAGGTGTAATAATCTGATAGGTTTATTCATTTTCGAACCAAACAAAAAGTAAATTTCTGGTAAAAAAGAGAACCAAACATGCATTTAGTAATCACTTTTTTAGTGATATTCAAAGTACACCTTGAAGTGTCATATTTGTTATCTTTCATTGCCTTTTAATCGTGGTTCTACTGTGCATCAAGGATGCTTAGTTTGTCCAATCTCATTTCTGTAGGGACTGATACCCCCAGTTATGGCTCTGAGGCAGTCAAGTGGGCCTCAAGATGGGCCAAGCAATTCAGTTCCGAACTCTATCACCCTTGGTGTCGGGGATGAGCATATCGGTGCAGTTGTGGGTCGAGGTGGAAGGAGCGTCATGGAGATCATGCAGGTTTATATTCATTGCTATATTTTTGCTAGCTTAAAATTTGTCCATGTTACGCCATCTTGGCTAATCAGGCTTGCGCCCCTTTCTAGGTGAGTGGTGCTAGAATAAAGATATCAGATCGGGGTGATTTCATTTCTGGTACATCAGACAGGTCTGAAATTTAACTGTCTCTCTCTCTCTCTCTCTCTCTCTCTCTCTCTCTCTCACACACACACACACACACACACACACACACACACACACACAC